CCTAGCCAGAAAGTTTGAAGTAGTTTTAAAAGCTTGAAGTTTGAAGGTTTTCAGTTTTAAAAAATTTGAAGTTTAAAGTAGTTTTAAAGTTTAAAGTTTTAAAGTTTTGAAGACCGTACAATCTATCAAATGGATGGATAGAGTTGCTTGGGTGTTGATATGCGGTTGCTAGGGTACCTGGGGTGGTTGCTAGGGTGTTGCTATGCGGTTGCTAAGGTACTCGGGGTGGTTGCTAAGGTGTTGCAATGCGGTTGCTAGGCTACTCAGGGTGGTTGCTAAGGTGTTGCTAGGGTATTGTGGGTGGTTGCTAGGGTGTTGCTATGCGGTTGCTAAGGTACTCGGGTGGTTGATAAGGTGTTGCTATGCGGTTGCTAGGGGACTCTGGGTGGGTTAACATGAAATAACAATAAACGATACCTCTACAGCATTTATTGATTAATATTAATCTTAACATTTACTAATGTTTTAAAATTAGAAGTTAACACTAGTTAATGCACTGTGAACTAACATAAATGGAGAATGAATATCTGTATTAATAAATAACATTAATACAGATAAATAAATGTTGTAAAACTATATTGCTCATTGAGAGTTTGTATAGTTAGTTGGAAGATTCATAGCTGGTTAATGCATTACTGAATGGGACCGAAGTGTTACCCTTTTTTCTTTCTGTGGAGCACAAAAGGATATGTTTAGCAGAATGTCCATGCTGCTCTTTCCCATATTGCAAAAGTCAATGATATAAAAAGCATGGTAGCACTTTACAATAAAGTTGAATTCATTATTAATTTGGTTTTTGTTTTTTCTTTTCACATCTTTTATTAATCTAGGTTAATGTTAATATGTAAATATTTTATTTTTCATTGCTAATTCATGTTAGTTCATAATACAATAATGTTAATTTATACTGAAATGTTAAAAATCTATTAGAGGAAATTAAGATTAATTAATGCTGTAAAAATATTACATATTTCACTTAAGCTGTTGAATTAATAAAATTAACATATAAAATCTTCTTGTGAGGTGTTACCAAATAAAAAAACACAAACTTTTTTCTGGTTGATCTCTTTCTATAACTGTGGGATTTAAAGGGACAAGTCAGTTTTAGTTTTCTTGCCTTTTGTTTGTGTGTTTGTTAAAGAATATTGCCTAAGATATTATCATAAGCTTGTATGGGAACTGTAATTCATTAAAAAAATGGTTGTCTAAAGTTTTGCAAGTCATTATAAAAACAAAGTGATGCTGAACCACTAAATCCTCTAAAGCCTTTACTATTTCATTGTAATACTTGGAAAAGTTCTTTGATAATTTATACTAGTGTTCTTTTAAAGTCTTAAATGGTTGGCTGCTCCTCCCTGATGAGTGTTTTCTACTCAGGGTCACGTGGTGATGGGCAACAACGCCGTGTCGCCGTATCAGCAGGTGATCGAGAAGACCAAGAGCCTGTCGTTCCGTAGTCAGATGCTGGCCATGAACATCGAGAAGAAGCTCAGCCACAGCAGCAGGAATGAGGTACCGGACTCAAAGCAAACAATTCAGACTGAACTAATGAGTTTTTCCTTCAGCCGAGCCTCATTGGAATCATTACCGTCAAGAAATGAGTGTGCTGGGAAACTTGCTTTTGAGCGTTGAAGCATTCTTCCTTAATTGAACATTAGCCAGCATTAGTCGGCGTACAGTTCCCCAAAATATCTTGCACAAAGCCCAGACTCAGCGTAAAGTCTGAATAACTGGATTTTATGTCAGTGAAGTAATTCACCTCATATATCTTGTCCTGTATTTTGCTTGATACTCACTTTGAAGACATTGCATGAGTCAGAACATTTTGACCATTTTAAAATATTTGTCAAACATTTAATAGAAGAAATAGTTTCGAGCAAACCTCTGTTCTATATGCTGCATCTTTAATGAGCTTCCATTTCCTTCTAGACACCGAACTGGGCGGCTCAAGACACTGGCTTCTATTAGACTGGAAACACAAGGCAAACAGCGGATCATCTTACTTCTCAACCTCATCTTAGTATTTAACTAACTATCTTTTATTTAGCCATGTTTTATATTAGGATCATTTTACAAAAGACTGATGCAGACATTTCCCGCATGACAAGAGCTGCGGAGTTCTGGGATGCTGCCGTAAATTTGATGTATTCTGTATGAAGGAAGGAATTTACCAGGCAAGATTTTATTCATTGTTCCAGTTCTGTGTCATCTCAAAGGACATTTTTCTTTTCTCTTATGCGAGTCATTGTTTTGAACATCATAACACAACAATTAACAGTGGAAATGTGTTTCTGAACACATTTTTAAAGATCGTGCAACATACTTCTGGAAATCTTTAATGGTTAAAGGTGAAGTGTGTTATTTTGGTGTCAAATAATAAGGATTGTTTCCAAAACAGTTCTACTGTTGTTTCATCTTTAAGGACATTGTTCATTTATTGTACTTTTAAGCCGATGTTTGTCATGTGAGACCACTTAAACTCGCAGAAACATTTTTAATAGATAACTGATGAGCATGTATTTTAACAGTCTTTCTATTTTATTAATTCACTCTTCACACTTCACTCTTAACACTCATGCTTTTTATTTGTCACTCTATCAACAGGGTCCTACGGTCTTGGAAATATTAGAGAATTTTATAAGTTAGTTTCAGGCATGAAAGAGATCTGTCTGATTTCTGTTGCTAAAAGTTTGGGGTCAGTAAGATTTTAAAAAATGTTTTTAAAGAAATCTCTTATGCTCACCAAGTGAAATCAGCAATATTGTGAAATACTACAATTTAAAACAACTGTTTTCTATTTTAATATATTTTACATTTTAATTTATTCCTGTGATGGCAAAGCTGAATTTTCATCAGCCATTACTCCAGTTTTCAGTGTCACGTGATCCTTCAGAATTAATTCTAATATGCTGCTTTTGTTCTCAAGAAACATTTCTTATTATCAATGTTGAAAACAGTTGTGCTGCTTAATATTTTTGGAAACCTTGATAGTTTTTTCCTCAGAATTCTTTGGTGAATAGAAAATGAAAAAGAACCCCATTTTTTTCAAATAGCCTACATTTTTGGAACAACCTAAAGGTTTAGTTTTTTATCTCACTTTTGCTGAATAAAATGATTTTCTTTCCAACAAATAAACAACAAAAACAAACCTTACTGACTGCAAACTTTAGAACTGTTAATAGAAAACTATTCAAAAGCATTTCATTGGTTAGACTCTGGGACCAATCTTCTAACAAAGTCATAAAAGAAATGTATACAATCAAGAAAATTAATGAAAAGGGATTTGAAAATCACTTTGGTCATAAAGTGTTGGAGCCCTGTATCGAGTCTGTGGTGGTAATTATTCAGTAATGGCAAGAATATGCCAGTAGCCCCTCACTGCAGAACAAAGATCCAGGGGGCGGGGTTGGATCCACATCTAGGGGGTGGAGATGGGTAGGTTTAGGGATGGAGATGGGTGGAGACGGGTAGGTTTATGTATATGTAAGGTGGGAGGAGTTGGATCTGGATCCAACCGCCCCTGGATCTTGTGTTCTGCAGTGAGGACCATCTCAGAATATGCGCAAGCAATGTCTCAGCTCATGTCTCATCCAGTAGGTGGCAGCAGTGACTAACTTTTCCACCATCGTCTGACTAGTCACCCAAAGACGGCCACAAACCAGTCATTACCAGCTGCCTGACTGATCATCATGTCTTTTAAAGCCTTCTTGATTTTCCTGTGTGTTACAAGTCAAAACCTAGGAATGTTGGGCATCTGTGTTTGGTTTTGGGGGCACTAGGTAATTTTGGGCCAGAGGGTGAAAACACAGGGTGTGTTGTCAAAGAAGCAAACCGAAATGGAAAGATCCTGTTGTGACTCATAAATGAGCAGCTTCCTCTGAATGGCAGATTTTCCTTTAGTTCTTTTTATATTTCATCCAAACTCCAGACAAAATGCTTGTGGAAAATGTGCTGTTTAGAACTTTCTGTATGCATGTTTCCTGGAACCTGATCAGTTTGGTTTATTCATCAAAATAGAGACTGTAATGCATCCACACTACCGTAAAAAAGTTTGGAATAATTACGACTGACTGTCTTATGCTCACCAAGACTTCATTTATTTGACTAAAAATCCAGTAACACCTGTAACACTCTGAAATATTACGACAATTTAAAAGAACTGTTTTATATTAATACTATATTTTTTAAATAGTAATGGCAAAATAGAATTTTCAGCAGCCATGATCCTTCTGAAGTCATTCTAATATGCTGATTTGGTTCTCAATTTGTGCCAGTTATTAATATGGTTCTTATATCAATAGTTTGTTTCTGCTGCTTAATTGTTTTTATTTAAGAATTCTTTGATAAAAAGTTCAAAGAACAGTATTTGAAATATAAATCTTTTGTGACGTTGTAAATGTCTTTACTGTCAGCAGGGCCGTCCTTAGCTGACGCGTGCCCGGTGCGAGGTTGGCAGCGGGGCCCCCCTCGTTCCGTTCGCCGTGGGGCCCCCTCAAGCGCGGGGCCCGCTGCAACCGCACCAGTTGCACCCCCCTAAGGACGGCCCTGACTGTCAGTTTTGATCAATTTAATTCCGTTCTATATAAATGTAATAATTTCTTTAAAAAAACAAAATCGTATTCACAAATTATTCCACACTTTTGACCAATAGTGTACCTCCGAGTAAAAGCATCAAATCCAGTTTTGAATGGGATGAAGAATATTTTTGTCATAAATTGCTTCATCACAAAATAAACGGTAAGCCTAAAAAGTGTTTAGCTATGGATGTCACGCTTTAAAGTGTGAATATGATTCTAGAGACCTTCTCAGAACTAACCACTTTTACCGTTTTAGCAATGACTAATCTCAGTCTTTTTTTAGCCGTTGTATGTAATCAGTTCCCATCAAGATCTTTTTTATAAGTGTGACTCAAGTGTCCAAACACATTTCGAGGCCACTGTTTGCATTCATTATCTCCATGCTCTCTGCGTTTATACGCACACCTAGTAAGTGAACTACATTGTCGCTTTAAATCGCCTCGGGTGCATTTCTCTGTTCCTACCTACTATTAACCAACAGGTCTCGGAGCCGGAGTGAAATGAGGGTGTGTGTGTGTGAGTGAGAGAGAGATGTTTTGCCCTGGGAGTGGCTGCTGGATATTCCAGGCAGGGTTGCGAGTGCCGCTCGGCTCAGTGAAGAAAACGCACACGCTCGTATACGCACTCCTCCAGAGCTGACGTGGGCTGTGGCCTTGCACAGCTGCTGCCCATCTGCCACTGAGAAGCAGCCACAGGAGCTAGACAAGAGGAAAGAGGGAGTAGACAGAAGGGAAGAGGAAAAGTGGCTAAGTATGGACACGCTGCAAGATTGGGCCCTGGCGTACCCGTCTCTGGCCCGGCTGCTCTGGGTGATAGTGCTGGTATTGGCCACCGTCCTGATTTGGAGCTTGTTCTTCTGCTGCTGGGGAAGCCAAAGCTCCACCTCCCCACTGGAGAGATACCTCTCAGGTAATATAGCTGCTTTTATTCTCACTCAACTGACCTGGAATCAGTTCCTGCTGATGTTCTTCAGCTCTTTCCGGATCAGTAGTAGATACAGAGAGTTTAAGGAAGGCAACAAAATGCTGGTTTTCCATGACTGGCTGTTTTAAGTAGGCACAGCATGGAAAAGTGGTTGAGTTGTGTGTTCACTGTCATGTACTCTATTTGACGTCATCTGAAGGGGCGTTTTGAAGCCTCAAATCACAGTTTACTATTTGTCAAGCAGTATCCCTAAATTAAATGCTCCTTGGGATGTTACGCAATGGCAGCCGTTGCAGATTTTGGCTATGTCCAAACCAAGATCTGAAATGCTTTAAAAAGACCCACTTGAGAAAGTTATCTCGAGACCACAAAGCGATGGTTGTTAAATTGGACGTACTAATTGTAGCTTTCAGTGAAATCTGTCAGTTGTGTATTCTTTGAATAAATGAAACACATTCCCGTAGATTTCCATAAACGTACACCGCAAAATCCCCAGAGTGAAATCAACTCTGCTCAGAGTACATATTGTCCCAATCTACAGAGTGTTAAAGTAACACTGAAGCCGAGTTAAAGTTAATGGGATAATTAAGCAATTAATTAATTGATGAGTGAGCATTAGTAAAGAAAACCCGCTGTTAACAATGTTGAAGATGAACAACTACTGCTCAGGCTTTTAGACATGAAAACGGATCACATGATCCTCAACAGTGGTAACTCTGCTTCAGTGTTACTTTAACACTCTGTAGATTGGGACAATATGTACTCTGAGCAGAGTTGATTTCACTCAGGATTTTGCTGTGTAGCAGCCATGTGTTTTCAAAGAAAACATTGAGGGTCTGACATGCATTTGAGCTTGAAAGAGTGAAGAATCAGTTCACATAACTAGTTTCTTCTAAGATCTGGGGTCAAGGTTCAAAGCAGGCTATAACTTGCTGTTTGGATGATTACTGTGACAGGGATTTTGACAGCTGCACACAATTCTAACCTATATACTTGCCAGTGTGTTTATATATACGTGTATTTACCTCCAAAAAAACAAATACACACACCTCCTTATGAAATGTTTCAATCAATATCGTGACGCACAGTTGAGAAGCTTTATATTTAGTATTTCGGTTGGGCAGACATCATAGTTTAATATCCTCCACATGAGCTTCCTTTAACTAATTTAATACTGTGTTTCTGTTTCAGCCATGGAGAAACAGTCAAAGACAAAGCACCAGAGCCAGGTACGTCATCCTCTGTTATTTATTATGCAACTGTATCTGAAGCAGTATGTAATGGTAAACGTTTAAAACTGTAGCATGTTGCAAAGGTTTCCTCAAAAATATTAAGCAACACAACATTGATAATAACAAGAAATGTTTCTTGAGCACCAAATCAGCATAATAGATGATTTTAAGATTGTAGCAATGATTGATAAAAAAAAAAATCAGCTTTGCTATAAAAGGAACTGCATTTTAAAATATATTAAAGTAGAAAAGTTATTTTAAATTGTAATAATATTTCACAAAATTAATTTTTTACTGTATTTTTAATCAATTAATGCATGATAAGAAACTGTCAAGAACATTAAAAAATCTTACCAACCCCAAACTTTTGAACAGTAGCGTACATACTGCAAAAACAGTAATATTAGCATGCTAGTATGCCATTCCGAATATGCATATGCCTTACGAATATGTACTTTTTACCCAGAAGCCTCTAGAGGCCAGTATTGTAAAATAAACCTTTTGATGACACTTTACACAGGTCTTTCAGCAACTTTTCAGTGATCCAAAACCCTTTTTATATATATTGTAGAAAAATACTTTGCTATAATTGATTGTGGTACTACTTTGCTATAATTAAATATGCAAATGATTGTATATCCAGGTAAAAACATCTTAGAATCTCACAGTTTACTCAGTATATGTAGGCACACAGTAAAACAGCTGTGTACATGCACTATTACTTATAATTTATGAATGATGAACACATAATAATTGCTTTATAAGACAAAGATGATTGAGTCTATGGGTGAGTTGTCAGTGCAGGCTTGTGTTCATGCTGGTTTAATAGACTGCCGGACCGAGATGGCTTGTGATAGCTCTGTCTGCATGAATGGAGACACTGTCTCTGCACAACAAAAGGCTGTTTCCTCCCCTGTCCTCCCAGTGGACAGAGAGAAAAACAGATCCAAATTACATTATCTCACAGCCCGAGAGAAGAGGCAGATAAAGTTTATATATTAGATTTGTTTGTGCAATTTACGGAGCAGATGGTCAAAATGATGATGGCCATAATCATTTATTCCGAGTACTGCAATAACCCGGATTAAAGTAAAAAAAAAAAAAGAAAAAGAAAAAAAGCATTATTTTCCAATACAATTTCTTGCATTTTCTGTGTTGATTCTGAAATGCAATACCTTGCAGTGGCACCAAAAAGAATTTGGATACTTGAAATTGTATGAATTTTATTAAAATAGATCGCAGCAAGTGACTTATATATTAATTACATCCACTATTGTTACTTCACTACTCATTAGTTAAAAGTAATAGCAAAAAAGTGAAGTTAGTTCTGAGAAAACTTGCCTCATTTGTATGATGCATGTATTTATGCTACTTGGTTTGATCTTTTGTATCTAATACAATGATGTTCAGTTATGAATTAAGCTTCCAAGTACTTTTTGCGGCTGTACATGATGTGTCCTGTGAGGGAGGAAAAATAAGCTTTAGTTCTTGCGTTTGTCTCCATGATGTCAAGGCAAACAAATTTCCATTTTCCTCCTTTAGTGTTTAAACAGTAGTGTTTATTTAAAGGAATAGTTCACTCAGAAATGATAATTTGTTGGAAATTTACATCCCTCTCGGCCTCGGGCCATCCAAGATGTAGAGGAGTTTGTTTCTTTATCACTTCCCAAGATGTTATTGAAGGAATGGAGTCGTGTGGATTGTTGTGATGTTTTTATCAGCCGTTTGAACTCTCATTCTGACGGCACCCATTCACTGCAGAGGATCCATTGGTGAGCAAGTGATTTCTGTTCAGAGACTGTTCATTTTTGGGTGAAATATTCCTTTAATGCTCTGCTCAAGTTGGTCTTTGTAGTTTTTCTTAGTGAGGATGGATGTCGGATCATAGCTGGATTTAAGTGTTAGGTAAAAACACTGCAATCTCATTTGGTAATGGCCATTAGGTAATTAAAAAGCCCTAATTCAAGCCTTGACATAAAAGCTAGCTAGAATAATGTTCTTGTACCTGCTTTCTATTTAAACACGTATTTGTCTGATAGAAACGGCCTCCTAATTGTGCACCTGACAGATTGAATCACACTCACAGGCTGTCACATAGGGACTTCCTTTGTGTGATCCAGGCAGTGGGCGTCAGAAATAGCCGAACATTCTCTAAACCCACTGATAACACTTTTGTGGCCTTTTCAGAATTGTCTTGGCTAAAATTACTTTAACCTGCATACATTTGAAAGGTAGTTCCTGTTGTAGGTTTTATTACAGCTTTCAAATGAATATGCTGATTTCACTGTTTTTTCAGCGGAAGAAGAAGCCGAAGGACAAGAGTGTCTCAGCGGCTCTGCTAAATGAGGGGATCGTCGGGGTGATCAAACTGGCAACCCCTCTCTCTCAAGAGAAACAGAAGAAGAAAGAAAAAGAAAAACACGGGAAGAAGACAGAGGAAGAAAAGAAGGAGGGAAAGGATGAGAAGGAGGAAGAGAAAGAAGAGAAGCGCTCTACAACAGTGAGGAAGAGAAACAAACGGCACCTGAAAGTCACCATCGCACCTGGTACTGTGACTTCAGCTTCTGCTGAACAGGTGAGAATGGCAATGGCAAATCTGAATGTCTCCTCTTGTCATATAGATATAGGGTTCAAAATTCATAAACTTAAAACAAATCCATTTTGACACCTTTGACTTTTTGACTTTTATTTAGGTGTCTGTTCAAAACACACCTTAAATATTTTATTGTAGGTGCTTTTTGTGTTTTATGTTAATGGAGATTAAGAGATATAAAAAAATACTAAATGTAAATTTAATATTGTTTTTTTAATTACTAAAGCAGCATAAAGCTTTTGTTTTATGTCCTTGAAACCCTGTTGCTTGAAGAGTGTAGCTTTCTTCACATTTAATGGCACATCTTTTATTTTATTTTATTTTATTCTATTTTTTCATTGCCAGTAGTCTTTAATTTAATATGTTGCTATGAACCATGATTTGTTTTTTGCTATTACTAATAGAGCCCGACCGATATGGGTTTTTTGGGGGCCAATGCCGATACCTCCTCAATGCCGATATATACATAAACACATTTTTTTGCAATGATAACTCAAATGTGTTGATCAAATACTTATAATGATGTGACAAACATAGGCCTATGTAGTGGAGGCAGGGTATTTAACAATTTAACAAACTTTATTATTCAAAATGAGTCTGACATCAGTGCACTTAACAGTAAACTTCACTTCACTTATTATAAATAACACAAATAGAACAAAATATATATAACTTGAATTAAGAAATTAAACAAGGTAACTGTGTAGGGCAAGCAAGCTACTGCCAAACCAATAGGGGCAGGTTTATGCAGGAAGCACAGCTTTTCCAAATGTAAACATCTAAAATTAATAAATAATAATAATTAATAATATTTTTTTTCACAAGGTCTGTGTTGTGTATTTTCTGGTAATCAAATGAACATGCAGAACATTCGTATTGAAATCGTCTTTTTGCCGTTTAATATTCACAGACACAGTCTGCATATATATACTGACCTGTTTTTTATTTATTCATCAAAAATAAGACAAATTCCATGAAATTCCGCGTTATACAGTCAATTCCGTTTTTATGGCTGGATTTCGCGATTCCGTCCATTGTACTGACAAACTATGCTGACACCGTGTCTGCGCCGCAACAGGACGCGACAAAGCGACCATTGAAAATCGTTTGAACTTTGTGTCAGCACGTTATAAATAGAACGAGGCATCAGTTTACTGCATCCAGTGACAACGCGCGATGTGACCGATGTGATAAACATGAGTTCAAACGGTACAAACACCAGCATTGACTGAATGGCCGCGATCATCTCTGGTGGCCGTAACACAGGCTTTAATGCGCCGCAGACTGTGCTCTGCTGGACAAACTAAGTAATTACACCATTCAGAAGCATTTAATCTGCGTTATATGTTCTGTAAAAAAAAAATTCATATCGGCGGCATATCCGCCGATACCGATATATCGGCGGCAGGCTCATATCGGTCGATAATATCGGCTAAACGATATATCGGTCGGGCTCTAATTACTAAGTGGTGGCAGTTGGTATTAGGGGGACATTTTCATTCTTTAGAGCGTTTAATTGGACAAAGATGTGAATATCGCTCTGTGTCCAATATGAGTAATCATTATTTTTGGCCCATTTGTAAACGCTGTTCACACCAAGAATGATATCTAAAAAGCTGACTATAACAGTCAGTAACTATATTAACATCCACACCAACGCATATTACAAGCATGCTGCAGTTATGTGGTCTGCTGCTTTAAATGCCAGTGCTCTTTAAACTAGGATAGATTATGATTGGCTGTTAATGATTTCATCGTTCATCAACCTGAAGAAAAAAATTATTATTAATTATTAGAATGATTTTTAAATGTCTATATTTATCATTATAATTATCCTTTAGTGTGAACAACCCTTAATACTGTACATCTGCTGAAAGTTTATTTTAGAGTACACATATAGGTGGGCTTCAGTGCTAATAGACTTGGTCTAAAAGACACAAGAAAGTGTACTGAAGTAAGTTTTAGAAGCATCTCCTAAATGAAGAAATGTGCATGTAAATTTTAGCAGTTCATCTGGACCACCCAACAGCTTCAAACATCGTAAAATACCCAGCTGTACCCATAATGAAGTGCATTAGAGGGTTAATATCAGTAGGCATTGTGCACAATAGGCTGAAGCTGGCACTGAGACTGGTGCTGTGTTAGATAGCTGCCCCTCCCTCAACCGGCCCATGCCAATGGCAACAACGATCCCTTTTTCTTACCAGCCATTGAGCGGTATAAAAGCTTCTGTTATGTAAGATGTTGTCAAGTCTGAGCCATGTTAACTACATTTGCTTGCAAAATGCGACGACTGTGCTAGCAACTGTAAATTCAGTACCTTTAATGATGCTGTATATAGCCTACATGTATTTGGAGTAATTCAGGATTTCAGACCTATTGCTTGATCAACAAATAATTGGTCTTTTAATGATGTGGCCTAAACATTTAAGGACCCATAGACAGACCCAAAGGGATATTTTTGGACTGAATTTTTTTATTTTTCAAAGGCTTGAACAGATAATATAAAAATATATTTTACTTTTACTGTATTTCAGACTTCTATGTCCACATCAGTACATCCATACAAGCATATTTCTAAAAGCCACAAATGTATAATTAAAATACATCTTAAAATATCTTTAATATTGATAATGGAACTAAACAGCTGTCATTATGGATTACTTTTTATTCTGTAGCACACTAACTACAAAGAGAACTAAAAATACTTCCAAATCATTTATTAATCTCTAAGTTAATGTTAATTTAATCATTTACTAATACTTGATTAAAATATAAAAAGTTGTATCTGTTAATAATATTTATGAACCTGAGCTAACATTAACTAAAAAGTGTTGTTTAGTGCTGCCAAACGATTAATCGCAATTAATCGCATCCAAAATAAAAGTTTTTGTTTGCATAAAATGTGTTTTGTGTATATTTATTATGTATATATAAATAAACACACATACAGTATATATTTTGAAAATAATTACATGTATTTACATGTCTATATTTATATTCATATAATTTATATTATAAATAAATATATTTAATATATAAACATAACATATTTTTCTGAAATATATACATGCATGTGTGTGTATTTATATATACATAATAAATATACACAGTACACATACATATATTATGTAAACAAAAACATTTTATATTGGATGCAATTAATCGCGATTAATCGTTTGACAGCACGAGTGTTGTACTTTTATCTAATGCTAAAAAATATAAATACTGTAAAAAATGTCTTGCTTATTGTAAGTTAATGTTAGTTAACTACCACACACACATACAATTCTACAATATACAAAATATATAATAAATTAATAAAAAAATAGTGTATATATAATAAAAAGAATACAAAATAATCAATAATGACAGCTTTCACTATGATCATCAGTTTTTTTATTTATTTATAGTAGCCTATATTTTAATTAATATTAATATTTTGTTTTTAATCATTTAGTTTTTATTGTTAATTATAAATATTACATACTAATCTTTACATTTATGCACTTGACTTGACTTAGATTAAATATAGGCCACATTTTGTGTGTTCCTGGGAAAAAAATCGAACCCATGACCTTGGCGTTGTTAATGGGATGCTTTACCAGTTATAGGAACTTCATGCTTAATGTTTCTTTTGGAACTCATTTTGTGTGCACATAAGTTGATTCAAATGCTTCAGTCCCCAGTGAGGCTTGGGGTGCATTACTTTGGGTCACAACTGTATAGTTTATCAAACAGAAAAGCATTTGTTCATGGGAAGGCAATAAACTCTCTCCCACATAATAGATCAAATCTATCGTTGCATTGTGCAAAACACCCAGTGACATTCCACCATTGTGTGGAACTGAAGCGCTACAGGGGCAACACCGAGTTGGATCAGATCAGTTCAGATCACCTTTCCCCCTGTCCAGCAGTGATCATCCACAGAATTTTGCACCGTCATCTCCACGGGCAAACAGCGCCGAAGCATCCAACGGTATAATAATCACTTGACTTTCATAACTAGGGCGCGTTCGTGCTGGATTCCTCCCCGGTAAGTTCCACTGCAGGTACATTTCTCCATCGCAGGCGGGACGCTGTAAGTTTTGCATCGTTTCTCCAGAGCGTTATATGCGGGGTGGCGACACTGACATTGGCGTGTTGACAGATCAGAAGGGAGGGTGGTGAACAGCTGGATGCTGTGTATGGGCTGTAAACAGAGTCACGGTACCCATATGAAGCAGTTGTTTAAAGGATGCTTGGTGTGTTTGCCGCATCGTTGAATCTTCTGAGCAATGATGACGAGAATACTTCTGCGCGCGATTATATGCGACGCGCTGAGGATTTCTCATAAAAATGGTTGAATTTGCAGCGCTCGAGAAACATAAACAACAGCAGCAGTTTTCTGTCAGTCTGCTGAGGTGGTTTGAAGTCGTTTGTAGTAGCGCGTTTGTTTGTTCCGCTATTGACTAACACAGTGTCCGTGTTACCATGGTAAATGACAGTGTTCTTTGAAGTATTATGTATTATATTATCATCAGTGTTGAAAGCAGTCGTGCTGCAATTTGTAGAAACCATGCATATTTTTTTAGGATTCTTTGGTGAATAAAAAGTTCAAAAGAGCAGCACTTTTGTAACATTACGAATGTCTTTACTGTCACTTTGATCAATTTAATGTGTACTTGCTGAGTGAATTTTAATTTCTTTATAAAAAAACTGATCCCAAATTTTTGAATGGTAGTATATAACTAAAACTTATGGAGATGTTATATTTTAGGCATTTAAGCAAAGGATTTTATTATCATAAATTCATCTAGTGTGTCCAAACTTTGACTGGTAGAATATATTAAAGGGGTCATATGATGCGATTTCAATTTTTCCTTTCTCTTTGGAGTGTTACAAGCTCCAAATAGTGCATAAAGAAGATCTGTAAAGAAATAATGTTTTTTTTTTTTAACCTTAAACCGCATAAACACATTTCATTACACCAAATACACAAAATAATGTTCTTTTTAGCAACGTCATATGACCCCTTTAAAGTTCCATGAAGTTTTGTAAAGGTAGTATTACTTGATGCATGCAAATGAAGAGTGTGATGAAAAGTGTTATGTATTTTGCAACAGAGAAAAAATGTAGGCTAGGTCCTGTCTTTTCACATTCGTTAGAGGGCAGCAGAGGTCACAGAAGTTGTGCTGGCTGACTTTGTAACCTCTCTAAATCACAGCCCTGCATTTTACTCCTGTCTGAAGTCTCTTTGGATCCACTAACAATAATGACGTTCATTTTCTTCCTTTGGGGCCACTGAAACATGCTCTTTTCAACACCTTCATGTTGTCTTAGTAACTTTTGAGTAATCAGTTACCTTCAAATCAGTCTCCGACAAGATTTTTCGCCCTGCTCAGGAAAAGCAGCATACTATCGAGAAAACATGAAGGATTTGCTAATCTGATTATATACACGGAAGACAAGCTACTTCCACAGGTTCAAATGCTGTTCCAAACTTTAAATAGCAATATGTATTTATTTTGATTGCACTAGCAGTCTCTTAATATTTTATTCATCAATATTAAGGCATTATGTGATATTCTTGTTCATTTGTTTAATTACAGTAATCATATCTCTGGTTCCTATGCATAGACATGATGAGGAATTTTAATATATAGGCTTATATTTTCAAATCCTTTCTCAACTCATTCTAAAAAATAACATTAACTAAAGCTGATAATATCTACAGTTGTGTGAAAGTTTTGTAGTGTCTTCTAGTGATTCTAAACAGCCCCAGCAGCTGTCCAAAGTAAAGTGGTTCTCCAAAGTGACCTGAAAACTCCACATCCTCCCGAGGAGCATCAGCAATTCGTTGCTGCATTGTGTATTCATTTTGTATCATCTCTAACACTCACGTTTTCCATGTCTCCATTCCCAGGTCATGTCAGGTGGTCGCCGGCGGGCACTTGAGCGGTCTGCATCAGAGGAGAGTGCAAGTGACCTGAGCTCTTCACCTTTTCCCGGAGACACCTTACCATGGAACCTCACCAAACACCAGCGCGTTAAACGCTCCAAATCTGCCTCCGGAGATGTCCTGGACCCTGCAGAGAGAGCAGTCATTCGCATTGCAGGTCAGAGGAATCAAAGAAATATTGCCGTACTTACACAATTAAAACGAAGGTTCTTTATTGGCATTTGTGGAACCTTTTCATTTCATAAAAGGTTCTTTATTGTGGAAAAGGTTCTTTAGATTTTTAAAATGTTCTTCACACAAAAAAATGCTTCTTTTAAGAACCATTAATTGCAAGGTTCTTTGGGGAACCAACAATGATTCTTTTATGGCATAGAAGCAAAAGACCCCTTTTGAAACATGTTTTGACATTTTAAGCTAAAAAACTTCAAGGAACAATGTGGTGCAATTTTAGATGCAGTGAAAATTAGTCACTTGAAACTATTATAGAATGTAGAGTACTATAATATAATGAAATGCTGTTTCCAAAATATTTATTTATGGTGCAGTATTATTAGCATAATTTCTGTGATATTTTGTGGACAAAAAAAGTCTATTGTCAATATGGCAGCAACGTATGAAGCTCAGCTCACACAAAAGTCAAACCAAGGAGCTTTCTGTTGGTAAATTCCATGTGGGGAAATCTTTCCTCCTCCAGCAAAATTCCAAATTGTGTGGATTCCTATAGAAATGACTGGATTTTGCTCTTGATAATTTGCCAAACAACAGTAAATGTGATTGCACCTTTAGTCAGAATACATGGCAAGTTTTTGAATGGCAGTCAATAGAGAAAGATGCTCTTTTGCAGCAAGATCTTCAAGCACACAGAAATGGCAATGTCATTTAAATATTGTTACATGACGCATTATCCAGTAAGACTTCTTAAGTTTGCCTATATGTCTGCCAGTCACTTTTTTTGTCACAAAAATATTTACACATGGATAAAAAAGTAGTAGAGTCTTCGCTCACGGTATTTGCCTGTGGGATTAAATGTGTTAGCATAGACAAATATAGTGTTTTATATCATACACAGACTTGCAGTCTGGACAAGGAATATTACTTGCTTGGCAGGTGCCTGATGTGCCGTTGAAGTTCCGTTTAGAACAGACTTGCTTTTGGTTTCTTATGTTTGCTTAAAGGGGTGGTTCACTGGGTTTTTTCTAGGCTTGATTGTGTTTATGGGGTGCAGTCTAACATGTGTTAATGCTTGGTAAAAAAAAATAAAATAATATGTTAGCTTTTAATATACGGTTTTATCCTGATTAAAGCATTAATACGGTACAGCAACCGCATGCACGTCCATGTTTAATGCTTCTCATAGCTGCTGCCTTTTTCCCGAGGGCGGGGTTTATCTGGGATTGTGATGTCACGAACCCGAGAAGTATCTTGTTGTAGTCCCTACCAGCCGTTTTTTGTAGGCATTAAACTGCCAGAATTGGAAAAGACAATATCTCCGTTTGCATTGAACTTTCAGCTTTGTAACTTTGCAGATATTGTTTATGCTCAAACAGCAACATTACACACTAACTAACGTTAAAAAAGTGAAATCGCAATGAACCACCCCTTTAATATTTTTTTTTTCTGTTAGTACGACATTAGATAGAAAGTGTCTGTTTTAGGATACTGTTGTCTTTTGACTTAGGAGGGGAAAAAAACAACCCCTGGCTCTCTGAATGTCCTGTACTTGCAGGTTTTAAATCTAGGTAGAACATTTATTGCAGAAAAGCACATTCAGAAACATGTTACAGGCTGATTTTTTGTTCTTTAATTAAAATGATGCTTGTGTGGATGTTTATATCTAGTAACCTGCAGTAAGTCTGTTCTTTGTGTGACCCTGCCATGCTGCAGTAGGACTGACACAGCAGTTATTGTGTGTGTGAGTGCATAACAGACCATACACACTCACACAATATTGGGCAAGGGTGTGGTCTCAGGACTGCAGTGTTCTCATCTCATACAGTTCCTCTGATCTGCATTATGCACACATAGGGATGATTCTGCCACTTTTAAGAATATTATGTTTCTCTGTGCCATAAATCTTTTATATTAGGGTAGAGTTTCCTCTGGTACACTGACATCTTTATCTCACAGTGGAAAGCAGGATGCTGGTGTATAGTCTGGATGAACCACATCCATTGGTTCATATGTAGTCTTACAGTTTCAGGAAACTTTAAAGCATGTAACGTTTATACGTTTGGCACACATTTATCCAAAGTGACTTTCAGGGTTATTATTGCTAGTAGGTTGTATTATTGCTATTCAGGGTTATGAGTGCCAGGGTGTTGCTAGTGCCTTGCAGTGTCAAAGATTTTTATTTATTTTTGCAGAGATGTTTCTAGTAATAAACACATTTGTCCACAAACTGGATTACCACAGGATGTTTTGATAATTCAGGTTTGAACTGCGCTTGGCTGCCATCCTGTGGCAGTAAATTGGCACTATAAAAATTAGTTAGTCAGCATCCCTGCTTGATTGCTTTGCATTGCTAAATGCTTCATTAAAATTAATTGTAGTGCTGCTCAATTATGACAAAAATATGTCCCTTGATATTGTAATCATGATTATTAATATTCATGATTACAATTCTGTAATTGATTCAAAATTATTTTTAACGGACTGCGTATACTTAAATGAAAAATCTAAAGTAATACATTTAAATATTACATTTATCATGCTGAAAATAAAATGGCTCTTAACTCCATTATATCTTCAACTTCAGATCTGAATTTCTGGCCTGCCGTCCCATTGCAGGGGCCTGGTTTCATACACCGTGCCTCTGGCTAGACTGAGCACTGCAGAATGCTCTAAAATGTCTGGAATTTTACTTGTGTAGACATCAGAGGAAGGTGAGAGGGGTGACTTTTATGGGTTTCATGGAGAGGCAAGCACTGAACTAAACTGACAGGGTGACAATGAGTTATAGTTACCAGACATAGGATATTTTCATCTCAAGACCTTACTTTATATAAAAGAATGTTACATTTATTATCTATTCATTTTTTCATACATTTTGTATACAGCATTTTAGTGTCAATAGTGTTGTGGTGAATTAAAATACAGTCATACTTTAAAAATGCTTTCAGACCTGTTTTCTCTCTTGTTTTAGTAATCCTTATGAGGTGTTGAGGGAAGGAATTCAGCATCTGAACTTTAACACGTCCAGTCTTTCCTCTGTGCCATCGCTGAATAGCACAAACTGATTATCGGTTACTCCTCACAGGAACTACTGACATGTAGAAGATCTGCAGTTCGATTGCATTTGGCATTTATGTCGTTAATAAAGAATTTAATCAACACATGCAAATATATTACAATGTGACATCCTGCAATGCGTCGGCTGTCATGCAGTTTTTGTTTAGTTTAGTCCTGAAAACTTTCATATTGTTGGCTCCAGAAAGTTTTTGGGAAAATCTGTAACCTTTAGAGACCACACCAGGATGAATCAATTATTCATGATTAACTATAAATAGCATAAAGTTGATTCCACATGCCTCCGGACCTCAAAAAATCCAGTGAATTATTTACCGATAGTTTAGAATAGATAGTCAAGCATCTGTATGACCTTAAATTCTTACCATTATTTTTACAATTCATAGTGACAATGTGCCATATAGGGGTGCAACGGTTTAACTTAGTCACGGTTTCGGTACGGTTCGGTATGTGCTATGTTTAAGGAAAAAACTTTAAGAAAGTGCTGTCGCTTTAAGAGAATGCACTGATACTGTTTGTTCAGCCGACTATGTCTGCTAGGATACTCACCAAGATGGGCATTTTGACATAATGTTTGTGTGAATTTGTCCATTCAAACACAATACTTCAAAGAGAGCTTAATATTTGCGCGCGTTCTGAGACGCGGGTTCACGTGCTTCGGATGAGAGCACACACCATAGACTGTATAAAAACATGGACGTAGTGTCAGTGATGTCACCCGTAGATTTCCGAGGAGCATTTTTGAAGCTCAAAAGTGGTAGCGCGTCACCGCGCATCACTCCCGGATAATCGAAAATGGGCAAAGAGGCGGGAGCAGGTTGCTGAAACCACGCCCACCTAGCTCGATGGTGGTGACAGCAGCGACAATCCACCTGTCACTCAAGTGGCCACGCCCTTAATTATGCAGAACTTTAAGGCTTAATATAATTTAAACGGATGAGTTATAAAAAAAATTCACCCCCCTCACAGTTGTCATGAAGGGCAAAATTAGCTATATAGACCAAAATCATTTTTTGAACCAGGCTGTAAACGTGTTTTTTTCTGCTGTAAAGTTGGGCATTTTAACATGGGGAGTCTATGGGATTGACTCCCTTTTGCAGCCAGCCTCTAGCGGCCAGTTGATGAATTACAGTTTAAGTCACTTCCTTGTTGGCTTCACGAGAGAGAGGGGGAGGTTGCCGCTTGGCACACACAGATCTTCTCACTGCGCGCGCTAGTTCACGTCTTCTGGCTCTTTAATATTTAAACTGGCAAGGCTTAAATGAGTTTAGTTTAAACACAGATAGCAACGTGTGCTGTTCTGGTCTCACCTGCGCTATCAACACGTGATGACGGCATAAATGACAGTTATTCCAGCATAAAGCACTGGCATTGAACAAAGAGTGACTGGTTTGTGCACGTATTATTTTTTTCTCTCATCGCTCTTGTTGTAATGTATTGGGAAGCCAGAATTTGTATCCATCAACAGAAACATGCATTAGCCGAACTCTAACAAACCATATTACAGATGCATTGTCAGAATTAAGTTGAACCGCGGTCCTAGTGCATGTCGAACCGTGTGTGAAGAAAACCGTACGGTTCTATTTTTTTTTGCCGGGAACCGTTGCACCCCTAGTGCCATAGCTCAGAAGCAGATCTGAGGTAAATCAATGGAGACTAATAGTTTACATTTTGATCAATATACTGATTTTGGCTAATGAGCTATAGTCAAGGTTAAGTGCATTGATACAAGTGTAATGCTGCCTTTTCTCTTGTTAGACAATGACAGCCAGTAAAGAAGATGGTGGCAGATCATTCATTCCAATGCCAAATATTTTCAAGATTTTATAAATCCCTCAAATGTTAGTCCTACTGCCACCACATGGTGTCAGTAGTTCAAACAAAAATACCTGAGAAATGTGTTTTAGATTG